GAGGGGGTTGCCCATAATCATCATGGAACCGTGACAGAAGGCTACGACCGCATCTCATTTTAGTACTCAAGAACAAGTTGAGGAATCTGAATCTTTAAAGTTTGATAAATCAATCTCAAAAATTATATTTGAAGAAATTTGGAGAACTTTAAATAAAGGCTTCAAAATCATCTTTACAAGTTCCTATAGAACAACTTCAATATGATTGCCACCTCCGCACTTAAACAATAACAAAATATAAATCAATATTAAAGATGAATTGTAAGCTTTTTAAGCTTACAGGTAAGCATCAAAACAACATTTAAAAGGCTTTTAAGAAAAATTCTTGCCTATATATTTTATAAATAGGCATCTTGACAAAAGGGAATGATCAAGATTAACAAATTGCAGAAGCATGAACAACTTAAACAAGTATTTGGACTTTAACCTCCTCGTGTACAAGTTATTAGTATACCTTTTAGTAAATATATGAAGATTGAATTCAATAAGCATGTGAGTAGATCGGAAGACTTCTATCATATCCAGTATGTGTATATGGTTTACAGGACATATCACAGATTGATGAACAGTTGCCTCTATTCGAGAATCGGCAAATAATCTATAGGAATATGATTTCCAGTTCTTAGAGCATTCATATTCAGATACATAGCATGAGTATGATAAGGTACTCATGGATATAAAATTAATTGGGATTATGAAGGTTTGAGTTCAGGTCAAAATTGAGCTAAATAAATCAAGACAAAGGTGGAACAACAAAGTGAACCTCCATTAAGACTAAATCTAAGTATGCATCATATGTAAGCGTTGTCAGCCTAATTATGTTGTACACTTATGAGGATATTTAGTTAAAGTATGTGTGTGCCACAGTAGCAACAATTTATGTTTGACGCAACACAATATATAAAATTCTGTAGCAACAGTTTGACACTTGTTGACTTAGTTGATTTGTAAATAATAGAGGGAGAGGGGAATTGACTTTGAAGTATGAGTGAACATTAATAGATTAGTTTGAACAAGGATTATCTATCTTGAACTAATAGACTATCTAAATTTGAATGTACTAACCATTAACAGGCATCATTAAGAAAGTCTTCATTATGTGCAGATTTACAAAGTTGGTTTTGGTATGAAGACATACAGACTATAATTTTAGAACTTTGTCACTTTAGATTTTCAGAAAGAAACAACCACTTAATTGAAATTTGTTGAATCGAATTTATCTTAGATGATGATCAAATTAAATTAATTTAACAAAGAATTAATTTTGATCAAATTTTTTAGCATCTTAAAATTCTTTACCTTTTTACAACATTTTAAATTCTGTAATTCATCATGTTCAAAAAAGATGAATTTAAATTATTTTGAATTAGATTAATTCATTTCAAACTAAAAGTTATCCTATTTTAATTTTCTTTGGTCATATTGGTTTTCTAATCTAAACTTTTTAGTATAAAGCCTATGCAGTAGCATTCCATAGCCCTTAAAAATTTATTATTATTTTAGTCAATTTTATTAAATAGTATAAAAGCATTTATATTGAATAGTTGGTCTCAATTTCAATCATGCCTTAACACCTAGGTTGAATATGCTTAATAAATTGTGAAGATAGATAGAGTGCGATTTGGGTTTCGATATTTAAAGAGTTTTCTCCTAAATTTC